AGGCGCCCAGACTTGGCCCCGAGTCCCAGCTGATCCCCCACAGGGCCCCGCCGGGAACGAGCCCGCCCCAGCCCGCAGCACCCCACTGTCTCCCCTGCATCCGGCCTGCAAGTCCACGGCTCTAGACCAGCCCGGGGAACACAGGGGAGCGCAGCGCCAGCAGGCCGGTCAGCGGGGACGCGGAGAGCAGCGGGCGCGGGAGACCCGGCACTCACTGCGGACGTCCAGGGAGGCGGTGACCGCCGTCTTCCCGAGCGCGTTCTCCACCCAGCAGGAGTAGGCGCCCGCGTCGTCCGCCGAGGCGCTGGGGATGTGCAGGGAGCCGTTCTCGTGCACCACGTAGTGGCTGCCTGCCAGGGCGCGCGCCGCCTCCACCTTCTGCCTGCGGACGGGCCATCGCTGGGCGGGGACGCCGTCTCCTGGCGCCCACGCGCCCACGCTCCCTCGGGCCATTCGCACCCGCGCCGAGGGGCACTTCGCTAAGACCACGCGGGGCCAGTGGGGACGCGCCCCTGAGGGGATAATGGGGGGCCCCTGCCGTCCGGGAGCGCGGCGGCCCCGCACGAGCCGCAGGTGTGGCCCTCTGGGGCCGCTGCTTGCTCGTCCATGGCCCCGCGCTGGCCCAGGCACGCCCTGGGCACGACAGGCAGCGGGATGGAGAGCAGCTGCTGCCCTGGGGAGCCCGCGGGAGCAGGCGGTGCTGCCTTGGGGGGCTGCAGCCGGCAGCCCGGAGGGGACCACAGTGGGCGGCGCTTTGAAAAAAACAAATGAGTAGAAAACCCTCCGTGATGGACTTGAGGTCCAGGGGGCCTGGCTCTCGGGGCCAGGGGCCACTGCAGTGGGGCGCCCATGTGGGGGCGCGGGCTCCTGCAGAGGATGCCAGAGGGCAGCCACGCCCGGCCCCCCACAGCCACGCCCAGACCCCGCCCCCCGGGACTCAGCGGGGAAGGCGCCTGAGGGCGGGCGGGGCAAGCGGGTGGCTGCGCACAGCCGCGGCCTTACCAGGTCACCACCGCCTGGGGCGACGCAAAGAACTGGCAGTGCAGCGTGGCGCCGCGACCCACCACCGCCGCGTAGCGCTCCTCGTCCGCCGTCTGGATCAGGGGGGGCATGTCTGCGTGGACACCGCGGGCACGCGGCGTCAGGGCGCTGAGGGGGCGCTGGAGCGCGGGGCC